CGCTTCGTGGACAAGAACGGGAGGTGCAACGTGCAGCACGGGAACCTGGGCGGCGAGACTAGCCGGTACCTCTCGGACCTCTTCACCACGCTGGTGGACCTTAAGTGGCGCTGGAACCTCTTCATCTTCATCCTCACCTACACCGTGGCCTGGCTTTTCATGGCCTCCATGTGGTGGGTGATTGCCTACATGCGGGGCGACCTCAACAAGGCGCATGATGACAGCTACACCCCCTGCGTGGCCAACGTCTACAACTTCCCCTCTGCTTTCCTCTTCTTTATAGAGACTGAGGCCACCATCGGCTATGGGTACCGCTACATCACGGACAAATGCCCTGAGGGCATCATTCTCTTCCTCTTTCAGTCCATCCTGGGCTCCATTGTGGACGCCTTCCTCATTGGCTGCATGTTCATCAAGATGTCTCAGCCCAAGAAGAGGGCTGAGACCCTGATGTTCAGTGAGCATGCTGCCATCTCCATGCGGGATGGCAAGCTCACGCTCATGTTCAGGGTGGGCAACCTTCGCAACAGCCACATGGTCTCTGCGCAGATCCGCTGCAAGCTGCTCAAAGTAAGTGCGGTCTGGCCATGCTCACCCCACTGCCACTGTCGGTGCCCCGGGGATGTCCCCACCTCTGCACTGGCCTGGAGCCACCAGCTTTGCTATCCCTCACTCCTGCCCTCGCATCCTGTGATGCTCCTCGGGTGCCAGATTTACTCTCAACTGTGATTTACCAGCAGCTGTGTAGGATAATGGTTATAGTCAGTCCTGGATTTACATGCATATTTATGTATTTCTATAAAATGCTAGATTTCTCTGCCAAATAAATACTTTGCAGTTTCAATTCCTTGGTGTGCATTTTAAAAGAAAGCTGTTTACCTTTCTGCCATATTCCTGTGCTTTCAGGCAGTGCTGAGTCCAGTCAGGCAGAACTTTATTGATACAGGCCATGAACTTCATGGAAAGCAGAATGTCAGGGTTAGACGTTTACAAATTCTGCTAATGGCCCTGGATGTCTAGGGAAAATTGAGTGTTTATTTGAGGCTTGCTACAACAGCTGCATATCCATAAGGCATATGAAATAAGGGTGGCATGGGTGGAAGAGGATGGCTTGGGGGTAATGTTTGGTGCATGCAGAGCACGCCAGTGTGTTTATGTGGCTGGCAGGGTTTGTGGGTGCCCTGTGCTGGGGGTGGATGCTCTGCAGGGGCAGGTGGTATCCCCTGCCAGGGAAGGACCCCACTTGGAGTGCTGCCCTGCCTTTGTTCCTGCTCCTCTGGCCACACAGTGAGGAGGGATGCTCATCCCCTGTCCGCTGTGCCCATATCCGAGCAGTTTTGCTTGGAGGCTTGTCATGTCTTGGTCTAAAGATGTGTTTCTGGCAGGAGGCTTTCAGGCGGGATCGTTGTTGCATTAGTTGAGGGTTGCAGAACCCCCAGTGCACCCTAAATCATGAGGGAGTCAGTGGCCTGAAGGAGGGGCAGTGCTCGCACTCAGCAAGCTGGAGTGAGAAGAGATCTCCATAATTTCACTTGTCCCCTTCCTGCCGTGCCTGGATGATCGCGGTAGCTGGGGACTGACATTGGTGAGGATGGGCTTGCTGCTGCTGACCTGGAGGTGCCTGTTCCTGTTCTTTCCTTTTTGAATAATCAGCTGGGGTCTCAGTTACACTTTTCCTTGGCATGAGCCATCGCTGGTTGTTCCCGCATGTCAGAAGTTTAGATGGGTAAACTGAATGATGTGCAATTAACCTTGTAAGTAATCATTCTGTCTTTAGAGGGTACCATGGTGACCCCTCTGACTGACCTCTGCGAGAAGGCTATCCTGACTAGGGAGAGGTTTGTGAGGTCATGTTTAATGTAGCTCTTGAATAGCTTTAAGGGGGGAATTTTAAAAGTTGGTGCTGAAAACCAATTGCGGCTCCAAAAAAAATTCCTGAACTTTAAATATGTGAAAAAGCAGCTTCATAGTCATCATCTCCTCTGGTTTTGGGGAGGCAGTGCTGGGATCAGAAAGGTAGAGGATAATAAAGGTCTAAAATGTGGCTTTTCTGTGGATGCAGTTATGGCTGGCTCTGCACAGCCCCTACCAAATGTCTCTGCATGATGCATCCTCCTACTGCTCTGGGGGAGCAGTGCTTGGCTGGGCCTCCTGGCCAAAAAAAAACAATATGGGGAAAAAAAGAGAAGGATTGCAGGAGGAGGAGTGATCCATCTCCTGGAGGGTGCTGCCGTACAGGCAGTCCTGCTGGCTGGCAGAGGTGTGTTGCTGCTTCAGTGTTTCTGCTTTGATTTGCACACAACCTTTATTGCAGGTTTGTTGCAAAACTGGGAGGGCAGAGTTAACTGTAGGGCTGCTCACAGATTTTCATCTTGAATGCTTCTTTCTTTTTTTTTTGTTAAAGGTTATTCTGGTTGTAAAACCTATGTAAAAATGGAAATCCCAATATACTCTTTTTAATTATTTTTTTTTCCTGGTAAGCTTAGACCATACTGGAGAAAAAGCAAATATTAAGCCTTAAAAGTGGCAAGTTAGTGCAAAGACTTGCTCGCTTTAATATTCGCTTTCTTTAATGAATCTCCAGGATTGTAAAGAACTTGAATGACACTTAGAAGCTCTGTACTTTCCTCCCTGCGTTACACTGAGTCTAAAGAGTCACCCAAGGTAATTTCTTTTGTGTTGGCTTGAATAGCGAAATAGTCAATAGTATGAGTCCTGCCTTGGGTAGTATACTGCCTGTAACTCAGGGGTAGTTATAAAATAATATTTGGTTTGTCTATAACATTTTAGCTCTCGATCTTTATCTCAGTTCCCTCAGAACAGAAGCAATCGTACTTTGTGTAAATGACTTCACAGCTAGATAACTTAACACTTGATTTTACTGCAGCTGTAAAATCATAGGGTTCCTATAGCAGCCCACCTGTTTTTAACCTTTCTTCCCCATAATTTTCTTCCTCCCATCTATAGCTCCTGCCTGTTTCTCTGGACTTTGCCGTGTCCCTCAAGTACCACATTGTCTTTAAGTCTGCTTTTTCATCGCTATTTCATCTGTTAAGATGGCCATTATATGGGAGTTTTTTTGCAAAATAATAGTTCATTCTGCTTCTTCATCCTCTCCTGTGTGTTGGTATTCAGGGGGTTTTTTGCTGTTCGGTTCACACTAAGATTTTGGGGCAGGTACCGCTGGGTGTTTCCTGGAAAGCATTCATGAAAGAGGTTGGACCAGATGATCCTTGAGGTCCCTTCCAACCTGGTATTCCATGATTCTGTGAGACGTGATGTGAAAAGCCAAGATACGTTGGACAGTAGTGGTGGTAGATGAAAAATGATCATCTAATTTTCATCAAGATGAAAATCAGAAGAGCCAGAAGGCAGAACAAGCAGCGATTTTACAACCAAATCTTTAAAGGACTTTCCCAAACTACTAGCATTTATACTAAAGCTAGGCGCATGCAATTCCTAATTGTGTTTTGTTGAGTCTCACCTAGGGCCACTGGTTTCCTCTGTCTCAAAGCCAAGCTAGGTGCATGGGTCTTGGTGTCCCCAGTGCGACCATGTCACCCAGAAATGGGCCAGCCTTCACCTCCCAGGGGGCTAGAATGGTATTTTAGGGGTGCAGGATGGCTCTCTCCCTAGAGCTGCTCCTTGCTGTGCTTAACAGGTGTTATTTGGTGCTTTGCTTGTATTTTTGCCTTTTTATTGGAAAATAGGCTTCTCTCTAATGAAAGAACAAACAAAATCCCGCAGGCAGGATATTTATGCAGATGTGCTCTAGATGTTTCTTGACTCTGATATCTTTATCTAAAACTGTATGGCGTATGCTAGGATGGGGTGGCAAAGACAGGTGTGATAAATCTGAATTTTCACACACAAAAATTAAAGCACGTTTCTTAGCCGAAACTTCAGAGCAATGAAGCACACAATTGTTTGTTTGGGATTAGATCTCTTTCAAATCCAGCTACCATTCAGGGAAAATGTTCAAAATAGACCAAGTCCTAAGCGAGGCGCATAATCCGGTTTTGCTCTGTCTGCCACCTTTTGCTTTTAGCATCCCTTTTGCTTTTAGGTTCCCTACAGCTTCTGCCCCTGGGGGTGCTCGGCCATGGCTGCACCCCTCACTGGGGGCTGCACCAGGGACATGTGACATCCCCCCTTTTGCAGCAGCCAGTGCAGGGCTGTTTTACAGAAGACATGGGGCTGGGTTTCTCTAGGAGATGCAAATGTCACTTGCAGGAGGGCTGATAATCTGAACGTGATAGCTGTGCTGGTCCCTGTCCAATGAGACATTCCCCTCCCCCCCCCCCCCCGCCTTAATGCATCTGAATAACGAGGAGAATGGGAAGCAGAAAAGTTAGAGGAGCGATTATGCTTCTTCCTGCAAGCATAATGATGCTCCTGTTAAAAGAAAAAAACAACCTGTTTCAAGTGAGTAGTATTGCTCAGTATTGAAAGTTTCACATCAGCTCAAAATGTAAGGAATGATGGATATCCCTCCGAAGTATCATAGAGTCATAAAATCACAAAATGGACCTTAAAGTCCATGCAATTCCAACCCCCTGCCACAGGCAGGGACACCTTCCACTAGACCAGGTTGCTCAAAATCCCATCCAGCCTGGCCTTGAACACTTCCAGGGATGGGCCAGCCACAACCAAGTAGTGATTTAACATGGTTTTGGCTGAGTTTGATGCACAGCCGTTTGCAAAACTTTTTTTTTTTCTTTTTTAAATCTGAATAGCAAATAATGGAAAGTTCTGTAATAAAAGTAATGACTGGGAAGGGCTATAATGTTCTGTTCCTGCCTATACATATCCCAGGGAGAAGCAATAAAAGCCAGAGTGGGAGCATTTGGGCAGGGCTGTGCTGGTTACAGTACTCTTTATAGACTGGGGATGTGAAGCTTGCAGTGAGGCACATGAGCCACAGTGCTGGATCTGAGGTTTCAGCTTCAGGCATGATTTTATGGACTTGTTACATGGTTGTTAAATTGTGGTTTACTGCTGCTCTTATCAGGCAGCTCTAACTAACACAGTGACAGCATCCCCTTCTTCGGGCTTCTTTTGTCAAAAGGACAGCAGTCTAAAAGCTTCCCTGGAGGACTGTTCCCAGCTGCTGTGGGGCTGACAGCAGTTGTTTTTAGTCAGTGTTGGGGAACTGTGTGTTATGGGAAAAGCTGATAATGCATCTAATTGCTGCCACTTTCTGCAAGGGGAAACGGGAGGGACCTTGGAGGTGGCTGTGAGCCCTCTCCTGTGATCACTGTGTTGCAGTGTGGATTTGGTGAGATTTTGGGTGTCTCAAGGGGAGATACCTTGTCTGAGCTCCTGGGCAGGGGACCCTTTATGGGTACACCACTCTGGGCACCCATTGTACAAGGGATGGCGTGCAAAGCTGGATGAAGAGTGGGCTGGTTGATCATCTTCTTCTGCTGGTGGATGGTGCTGCAGGTCAGTGGCAGAACCATCACTTGAGTCAGTGGGCAGTGGTTTTCATAGAATCATAGAATGGCTTGGGTTGGAAGGGACCTTAAAGATCTAGGGCTCTTATGCTGGTGAGCTGCAATTGCAGTAAGATATGTATTAGAAATAATTCGTCCCTGCTCTGCATGTCCAGCACTATGTTTCCACCCATTTCATGGCCTGATGGCTGGACCGGGTTTTGCCTCATGTGATGGGTAGTGCCGAGCTCTGGCATGAATGCAGGATGCTGTTGGGGTGCCTTGGTGATGGCTGCTCTAGTGGTGATATCTCTCTTTCTGTATCTCTCTCCTCGCTGCTCATCCAGTCTCGCCAGACCCCAGAGGGCGAGTTCCTCCCACTCGATCAGCTGGAGCTTGACGTGGGCTTCAGCACAGGGGCCGACCAGCTTTTCCTTGTGTCCCCACTCACCATCTGCCATGTGATTGATGCCAAGAGCCCCTTCTACGACCTTTCCCAGCGCAGCATGCAAACGGAGCAGTTTGAGATTGTTGTCATCCTGGAGGGCATCGTGGAAACGACGGGTGAGTAGGGACAGCAAATGCTCTGTTAAGCAGATGTCACCCTGCAGGTCTTACCGTCCACGTTTGAAAAGTTGGGTACTTCGAGTTGCCCTTTAATTCAGTGACATGGTCAAATTTTGCAAATGCTTTGAGATGGCCTGACTTGTTTTTTCCTACAAATTGAAAATGTTTGAGGGATTTTTGGCAATGTGTCTGTTACCAAGGTGATGCACTTCAGCGCTCCCGGCAAGGTGGTTTGGTGGTGCGGGGATGCTGCAGCGGGCTTGGGTGTGCTGTGTACCCTTTGGCATTGCCTGGCAGTGATGCTGCAGCACCGGCATGGGCTGCCAGCTGTTCAGAATATTCAGAGGGGAATATTCAGAATATCTTAGATTCTCAGTCCATATGCTGGTCTCCCAGCATTTCTGTGCTGTGCTGCTTTTCTAGTGCAGGAGGCCACTTCTGAGAGCCTCTGGCTGCAGCATTTTAGTAGCTCAGCCTGGTACCCAGAGGGACTGGGGGCAGCAGATGTGATTTGTCTGTGCTGTTCCAGAAACAGTGCTGATATTTCAAGAAATACGCCCTGATAATTCAAGAAAAACTCTCTGTTTTCTGGCTCACATAAGGATTTCAGGGCTGACACTCAGACAAGAGGACTCCAGGTGTTTGTTTTTTCTCTTTCCTAGCAGAACTGTTTTAAAACACAAACAATTGAAGAAAAGCTATTTTGTAAATACCTCCTTAGAATTTCAAAACAAAGGGGTGTGTTTGTATACTTTTGAATATATTTTTGCAAATATTTCTGGTTTAGAAATTATATGCAGACCAACAAAAAAAAAAAGGAGGTATTTTCTGGATCTGTAAAGCCTAATTCATATAAACTTGCACATTTTGTGACCTAGTTTTAGAAGATGAGATGAATATTGGGTAAAATAGAACAAAATGTGCTCTATCTTTATAAAACATGGTGGGACGAAAGGGTTTTTAAGTTAAAAAAATCTTTAAAAATGTGAGTAAGTGAGTGAGGAGGAGAATTTGGAGCTGGAGGGCAGCTGGACTGGAGGAGAATCAGTATCAGTGATGACAAGAGTAAGTAAATACGAAGATGGAGGTGGCAAGGAGACAAAAAGTCTTCCTTCATGACACTGCCTTTGGCACAAGCACAGGGGGTCTGTATAAGCTGCAACTATTCTCACTGTTGGTTTTCAGCAGGTAGCTTTTGTGAGCCTGGCTCAGGGAGGGAAAACAACAACACATGTGAGGGAAGGTGCAGTCTTCCCTACAGCATGTTGTTTTTTTAAAGAGAGGAGGTCTGGGTGCTTAGTAGGTTAAAACTCCTTGGTGCTCTCTCAGCAGATTCTTCAGGAATCTCCCCTGTCGTTCAGCTGAAAGCCAGAATGAGTCTGGCAAGACAGTGGTCTAGCTCTGGGATCATGCAGTAACATACCTACACAAACGTGGGCAACTTGTGTTTAGGAATGTACATAATAGATAAAAAAAAATGGGAAACATTTAATATGAGTTATGTACCTGAATACCTCTGCTAATGTAAAAAATGGGTTTGATTCAGAGGTAGTTTTCTGAGAAGTTCAGCCTGGTGCTGTGAAGTTTGGCCGCTGGAGCTGGGCTGAAGATCGGGAGACAACAGCATTAGCATTGATCGTATGTGCTCTGCAAGACAGGTTTCTCCTCTTTGTGGAAATAATATGTTGCAAAAATCTTCCATCTAAGCTATCTTAGCCTATAGGTTGCATCTAACAACCCACCACTACTGCAAAATAGAAGCAATAATTTGAAGGGTATTGTTAGAAATATTATAAAATTATTTGTAGCTTGCTCTCTTGGATGTTTTGTAGGTAAAGCTGATAGGAGACTCAGTCTGTGCTTTCTTCCTTCTCAGCATAGGATGGTTACTTGCCCTCGCTGTTGTGTTTATGTGATGCCAGGAGTGCAGTACCTAAGTCTGAAATGTCTGCTGGTGTGGAAAGAACAGAAATAACTTGCAGTTGTTGGGAAACCAGGGTGCTATTTTTGGTTAGGTGTAAAAACAATGTTTGGGGTGGTTTGGGTTGGTTTTTTTTGTTTTTTTTGGTTTTTTGTTTTTTTTTGTCTCAGGAAGTCAGTAAGAAGGTTATACATTTGAAAAGGTTTTCCCAATTAATTTCAGTTGTGTTTGACTGGAGAGAGAGCAGTGGTGGTACTTCGGGTGAGTCTGATGGATCTGCGTGTAGGCCAGGAGAGTCCTGGGGTTGATGAATATGTAGTCTGCGGGAAGTAGATTGGAGGAAGATTAAATAAACTGTGGTTGATTTGCACATTAGCTGAAGTTACAACCACAAGTGTTTGATCTGAACCAAATGGGAGAGAGTTTTTAGGATTTCTTTTTGTGTCTGGTTCATTTCGGCTCAGAAAGACTAGACAGAGGTCAGAGCCAAGGCTGAGTGGAGAGGAAGGTTGAGTTATGTACAAGGTTACTTGTGCTGCCGACATCAGCCTAACTGGTACTTCAGGTACCCTGCCTGCCTTCCAGCTTCCCACTTGGTGTGGGATAAGCTTCCTTATATTTTGTGTTCTGAAGTACAATCACAATGTTCTGTTAATCCTACTGGGAGCGGTATTTAATTTAATTATGAGTGAAACCTATGCAGATGGGACAGCAGCCTCCAGGGAGCAATTCTTATCTACAACCCCATTCTTATAATGGGTTTCTCTCACATCCCAGAAGTAAAAGAGACCTTTGATGCAGTGTGTGTAACTTTCTAACTTTCAGCCTATAAAGCTGCCTTTGCAGTGGTTGTTACCCTCCTATCAATGAAAAAAAATCATCATCATTTTGTATCATTAAATTGAATTGAAATGGAATTGGATTTTGAAACTCAGAAGTATTTAAGTACTAGAACATGATGAAAATTGATGAATTTGTACGATGATGTAGTTTTGGCATTTGGTTTCTTTCCAAAGATGAGGTGCAAAAGCCAAAGTGAAGACTGGTAGTGATATGTGCCCTTTATTGTGCTGATGTCGGAACAGCTGTATACTTGTGCTGCCACAGACCAAGGCAGCCTTCTCTGTTAGCGCATCTGCTGGGAAACCCTGCCTGTGAACTATTTTTTGAGTTTAAAATTGGACTCCAGCTCTAATGTTTCCCTCTGAAAACAGTTGATTTCACTCAGATGACTTCAGTCCCAAGTGGGGAACCGTGTATTGAGCAGAGCAGCAATTTTAGCAGGAACGTTTCCCCGGTTTCAGGTGTGCTGTTTGGCTTCTGCGCCACTTCTCCTGACTTGACAACCAGTTCAGGGGATCTCATAAAATAAAATGGCTTCTGCACATAGTCATTAAGCATCCTTAGAATATAGCCAGTTTTCTAACACTGCAGTCTTATTTTATCTTTCTGTAAAATTGCCATGAAGAGCATCAATACCATGGAGATAAATTGACTTCTTACCCACCCCAGAAGCACAGCACAGAGGAATTGCCCTTTTTGCTCCCCAATGCCATGTTCCTACAGCAGGTACCGCAGGGAGCAGCTGCTGCCTGGGCCGCCTGAGGTCCTACCCTGGGTTTTCGCGGATGGGAAATTAGTGGAAAAGGCTTTGATATTCATCCAAGCTCCTCAAGTTTTAGAGTTTTAAGAGAGAGCTAGAGACTTTCAGCCTACACTCCTGGTTTGTTTCTTCAAGTAAATTATTTTCTGTGTCTGAATTGCGCTCAGATCTTCAACATTCTTTGTAAAGAGCAGAATTACTCATGCATGTCTCCTCTGTCCTATGGAGAAATGCTGGCCCCAACATCAAAATCAGATGGCAAGCGACTAATAATAAGTAACAAAAGATACTTATTTCATGGTATACTCTTAGCACTTCTTCTCTCTGTACTGACATGACAAGAGACAGCCATTAGTCTGGAAGTGAAGGAGGTAGAAATACCTGTAAAAAATAAATGCAGACTTCTGGTTCAACAAATGAAAAATAAGAGAGAATTAAAGCCACTGGAAGGATCAGTGGGGTGGATTCAGGGCTCTTGACATGTTTTGAAATGTCTTAACCTTGAACTACTCTATAAATCATGATTTCAAAATAGATGTAGCGGTACTGTTGAATTCTGCCTTGACATGGGATTGTGTGGTGCCATGGGATGTAGCATTTGGGAGGCCTGTCATGCTGGTTAGATTAAGCCTGGACAGTACAATTTGAGGCTAAGCCTTTTGAAGGATCCTGTTTAATTTGCCATTTCCCATGTTATTCTTGTTCCAGTCCTCTGCTGTCGCTGTGTGGTGTGGACCAGGGTGCAAGTGCCTTACAAATTAGAAAAAGAATTAGAAGTTATTGAGTATTTCTCACTCTAATATAGCCCTTGTATTTATAATAAATAGGGATTTAGAAGTCCTAATAGCATTTGGTTGAAGTCAGCCCTGTCTTTTGATAGGGACTCAGAGCCTCTTGTTTTTCTCTAGCAAGTGCTTATGAAGATTTTTTTCTTTAACTTTGTTTTCCGCTTTAATCAGTTGACTTTTGATATGCAATGTTACCAAGGGGTTTAGAAAATTAGTAAATATATACAATAAATTTTGTTTTGACTGTCTGCAGTAAAGATTTTTTTGAGAAGTCTAACGAGTTGTTTAAGCAGGTTCTTCTTGCTTATGAATCCCACTTGACTGATTAAAATCACCTTATTCAATACCTTCTCTCATTAAATCATATAAAAATGATTTTTCATAGATGCCTCCCAACTTGATTAAGTTAATTTACTGCCTCATCACTGAAATGTTAATTTCTGGAAATAGAAGACTTTTCTTAATGTTTTCATTACCCTCCTTAATTACAGCTTTTAGGTTGTTGGGATAATACCATGTGGAAAGTGGACCCAGCGCATCCCAAGAGGAAAGGAAACCATGGTCTGCTGAGCCCTCCTGGACCTCCGTAGGGGGAGGAGCAGGGCTGAGCTCAGCAGAGCCTGTCTCCTCTTCCCTCACCTTCCCCCAGCAGAGGTGTCCCTTTTCAGCCAGTACTTTCAAACAAAATATCTC